CATTCAAATTTGTAAATAATCCACAACAAATCTGAGTAAAAGTAAGGTTAGAAAAACACGTTAGACGTTATCACAGTTAAAACGTATTGGCGATGTCAACAAACTATAGGGGGCGCTTTGACAGGTGATCAGCTGATCGCGCACGTAGGAAAACAAAACAGAGCTACCATAATGTTTGTAGGTGAATGATTGTTGTGTCTAAAAATTATCCATATTTATTATCTTCCATTAATTTTTTTGTTAACGCAATGACAACTAAAAAAATTGAAGTTAGACTGCTCCATATTTTGAAATATATAGGAGACACAAAAGACCTTTAAAAGAAGGCGAGGCCTTGTTAAAGGCTGGCCACGTTGTGTTGTGTGGCAAATATAATAACAAATTAGTCGGTTTGTGTCTGCAAACGACTAATTTAAATGGTGCCTCACATGAATAGCATTCAGCAGTTCCTCATTGATTTTTCTTTCGTGTTTTCCTTTAAGAAGGAGTTGAGAGGGAATAACACCTTTCTTTGAAAGTTTCTTTTACCCTGCTGCAGCTGTAATAGAAATTTTAATTAAGATCTATGTTAGTGTATATATTTGATTAGGTTAGGTAGGCACATTATATATAATAAATGTTGCAATTCTGTTCAGCAAATTTATTTGAAAAAAAATCTTTCATATAAAATTTCATAAAATTGTCATTACCTTTTTCAAATAGTTTTTGACTGTTACCCCTAAAAGCTAAATTTTGTCCAGCCAAAAATTGAATCATAAAAATAATTCTTTCTAAAACAGATGTCCATGTTTTTTTTCTATTTGAAATAAATTCTAATTAATATAATCGACAGTTAAACCGTTTTTAATTGATTTTTTTAATTCAACCCATTTCTTAACACTTTCTAAATGCCCCTTACGAGTTTCGTGTCTTTCTAAAGCCCGAAACAAGTGTTGCCAGTCCCTAAAACCATTATTATCGCTAAAACTATTAGAAGAAACTTCAAATAATTTGCAGGAATTAGCAGTATACTAAATCTTTAGATTTTGAGTAAATAAGTTAGTTTCTAGTTACTTTTTCATTATCCAATTACTTTTTTACTAAGTAAGTAGAGCTAAAAGATCTGTTTAAATTATTTACGGGATAAATAATATTTTTTAATTATATTGGACCTATGTCTAGAATTATTAATCTAACAGTATCTGTCAATACTTCTGGCCAATATGCTGGATCTTTTAATTGCACCTCACTTATATCAATATCTGCGGTTTTGGTTTGCGTATTATTTAATGAGAGAGTATTCGTTGTATCCTGGTCTAGTGTAATATTTTCGACGATCGATTTATTTTGGTCGTGTTCTTCTGCATCGTTTTCACTTAATTTAAAAGGTTCAACATCTAGGGCTTGGCTTGTTGAAGGTTGAGGTTGCGTACTAGTCGTGGATACAAAAAAACATTTTTAGTGAGCCAGCTAATCGCTTGTGGTCTTACTCTTTTTCTATCCTTCTCTTTGATATTGTGAACCAGAAAGTCTCTTTCTACCATCAGCTGTCTAAATAAGTAAATAACAGTTTATAATTTAGAACAAAAATAAAGACCTGACAATTTTTAAGCTAAAAAAATTGAATCAGTAAAAAGTGCAAAATACTACTTTAACTTTATATAATATATGTAAGTAATAAGAAGCTATTTGGAATAAACTTACCATTCACAATACACTGATAGCAGTAATAATATAATGTATAACAGAAATAAATTAAAAAAAAATCACACTAATAGCCAACTTATCATTAACTTAGCAACTATCTTTCGGTAAAAATTTCGGTAAAAACTCGACATTTTTGGAAATATATCAATAATAAACGTAAAAGTTATAATCTGCCATCTAATATGTTCTACGGTGATAGTACAAGTGATAATGCTCAAGACATAGTCAATCTATTTGGTAAGTTTTTCTCAACTACATATTCTAATTCTAAAATTAATCAGATCCTAATTTTTAACTATCAGCAGAGTGTAAATGTGAATAATTATAGTATTGAGGTCTCTGACATAATTGATAGTGTTTTAAAGATGCCTTGGAAATTATCGCTTGGACCAGATTGTTTGCCAGCTTATGTTCTCAAGCATTGCATTTTCACTCTTGTAAAACCTATCTGCTACTTATTTAATTCCTCATTGAGTACCGGCATCTTTCCTGATATTTGGAAGACTAGTTATTTAACACCAATTTTCAAGTCTGGTAATAAAAATGATGTTGAGAATTATCGAGCGGTTTGTAGCCAATCTGTATTATCCAAACTTTTTGAGTGTATTGTAAATAACTTTTTGACATGGAATTGTAAAGATTTAATTGATGTTAGACAACATGCCTTTTCTAAGGGTAAGTCTACATGCACGAACTTAATATTGTATACGAATTTTATAGCTAATTCAGTGGAACAGAAGGGTCAGGTTGACGCTATCTACACAGACTTCTCAAAAGCCTTCGATACAGTTAACCATGATCTGCTTATTGCTAAATTAAATGGCTATGGATTTGGAGGTAAAATAATTGAGTGGATAGGTAGTTATATATCGGGTAGATGTCAGTATGTTAGATATGGAAATTTTTTTATCTCAACGAGTATCTGTAACCTCAGGAGTTCCTCAGGGGTCGCATATTGGGCCTATCTTATTTAATATATTTGTTAATGATATATCCTCAGTGATTAAAAATAGTAAATTTCTAATGTTTGCTGATGACCTTAAAATATTTCGAATAGTTAATGACCTAGTTGATGCCTCTTTATTACAGAATGACATTAAAAGCTTAGCTAGTTGGTGCGAGGTAAACATGCTATACTTAAATATACAAAAATGTTTTAAAATTACTTTTGGAAGATCAAGAGAGTTTGTAAATTATGATTATTGTATAAATAATGTACCTTTAGAGGCACGTCATATAAAAGATTTAGGTATAAATTTTGATTCTAAACTAACTTTTAAATATCACATTAACGAAACTTCAGCTAAAGCTTTAAAAATGTTAGGATTTATTCTTAGAAACTGTAATCAGTTTTCAGTACAAACTTTAAAAATGTTATACTTTAGTTTAGTTCGATCAGTTTTGGAGTATGGTTCTCTTATTTGGTCTCCTTCATATAACAGTGACATCAACAGTATCGAGAGAGTTCAAAATAAATTCTTGAGGGTATGTGCTTACAAAATTGGTTTTATTAGACAGCAATACACATATGATGATATACTGTCAATACTAAATATCTCATCACTACATGATAGAAGATGTCAAGCGGATTTATGTTTCCTTTTTAAAATTATAAATGGATATGTTCAAGATCCAGAGTTACTAAGTTTAATAAGTTTTAATGTTAATACTAGAAGAACTCGTAACACTGAGATTTTCAACATTCCATTCCACAGTACGAATTATGGCCAAAATGAACCCATTACAAGAATTTTACGAACTGCCAATGAGCACAGCAATAGTTTAGAGTTATTTGGAATATCTACAGCAACATTTAAGAAATCATTTAAGAGATTTTGAGCATTATTTATTAACTTAAGCTACTACTTTAATTGAATTTTGTTTGATTTTAATTTTGGTTTGTTTTTTATTAACGCAACCTATGTATAAGCTTTGTAAAGGTTGACGTTATATTTCTGTAAAAATGGTATATCTGTTAATTAAATAAATAAAATAAAACTTACTTGCATGAAAGAAAACACAGAAAACGTGTATAAATTACGGCCGGAAATATTAATTTCCCGAGAGTTTCGGGATATCCCGAAAATATCGAGGAATTCTCTAACTCCGCCGCCGTTGCATATAATCGGTCAGCGCCAGCTACGCACAATTTTGGTACTATTGTTTTTATTATACTAATGTATATTATACATCACAGGAAAAGACAGCGCTATCTTCTTAATAGCAACTAATTGGCCAGTTACTTTTTTTTGCACTTTGCTTGCCTTTCGTTTTGATTTTATTTTTATGATATTTATATTTTTGGGTAAATTTTGTCGCCCCCAAGCGAGCGCCGCCCCGGTGCCACGCATCCCGGCACGGCTCGCCGACTTGCACGGCTATGCAACAAGAATTTATTAAAAATGAAAAATAGTTATGCTCCAACTGAAAATTCAGAAAAATTTTTGATTGACAAATCATTGTTATAGAACCAGAATTTTTAAGCTTTTAGCATGAATATTTCAAACGTATTTTATCTAGTACAAATCTAGATACAGGTAAAATTATTCTGAATGAAGATTGAAATACAAAAATCACTAATACAGATATTATAAGGAATCACCGCAGGCTATAGGCATAGTAAAGTCACCAAACAAATGTGAAATATCAGTTCCCACCGTTCGTAAGAAACAGTTCTCACCGTTCGTAGGAAACAGTGTTGATAACCATGAAATATTCTTTGGAGTAAGCTAACATTTTTATGTTTGCAAATGCTGTGTCAGGATGAGAATTTCTACATCCAGTCTGTGCTGCGTTAAGTCAAGGAGAACTCAGACTCACAGTCTTAGACAAACTGGCACCGAAGATATACCCAAGATAGTTTCCCTGAAAAATATGGGGAAAATTTCAAAACAAAAAATAGCAGATTTTTAACTCTAGTCCTTATTTATAAAAACAATAGTGATCTTATATACAATTATCCTTTACAATATATCCTTTACTAGGTTCCCTCTGTGACTTAAAACTTCTGTTGGAATAAACTCAAAACTAAATAAATTGAAAAAGTCCCTTAAAAGTCCATAGTTTCAAAAACGCACACTGTACTGAGATAATGCGTTTACTATTTGAACTGTGGTTTATGATATTTTGCTGTTTCTGAATTGTATATTATTATTGTAAATTATTTAAATTATATTTTAAATTGTACTGTATTTTTAAATTGTATATTTTCTGCTATAAAAACCGAAAATCAGTCAAAATAAATAAATTATAACAGTTTCTTCAATGTAGTGCTATATTTTTTGGAATCTCACATAACTTTTTAATATTTTCAGTATTGCTGTGCTACAGTAGTAGGTGGTGTGAAGATGTCATGGGGAGGTGACAATGAACCTGCTGCCCAAGCAGTTTTGATGAGCATTGGGGCTTTGGGTGTAGAAGAAAACAAAAAACATGCAAAAGTATTGTTCGACTGCATTTCTAAATCCCTTGGAATTCCTGTAGATAGGTATGAGTTTACATACATTATTTTGTATTAAGAATGCCACATTTTAGACAAAATATGGATCTCTAAACGATCTGATTGTGTTATTCTTTGTAGAATTTTTCAAACTTATCATTTTTGTTGATCTATTTCATTTTTCTGAACTTTTATAAGACCATATAGATAAATGGCTGACACAGGCCCATAGGCAAACAGTAGTTTTTCACTTTTATCAGTCTCTTGCTAGGATTCTCCAGTTTTGGATTAATTTTTCTGGCAAATGTTTCTTCACGGCTCTCTTCCAATTTTTTCTTTTTATTTCCATTTCTATTTCCGTAGTTTGTTTAGATACTGTCCATTCAATCTTTACAGATACCCTAGCCATCTTATACTCTCATCTTTGGCTGCTTATCTAATAGTTGGAGTTAGTTCGTAATACAAAAACTAATAAAATTAGGAAATTAATGGGAAAAACCCCGTAATTGGCTGTATACCATCGTTTAAAAAAACACAGAAATTAAAACACTTCACAATTGTGTATTTTGGTATGGACCCCACTACCACTTATAATTCACATTTCACTCAATCAACTCAATTATGCAGTCAATTTAATCTTCTTACAGCCAACCCTACATATAGTCTCTATTATTTAAAAAAAAATTTCTCTAATACATATTCACACACATCTAACAGGTTACATTTTCTCTACTACATTAATGTTCATTCACTCATTCTCAGCTTCATATATATATATATATATATATATATATATATATATTATATATATATATATATATATATATATATATATATATATGTGTATATATGTGTATATGTGTATGTATGTTCATTTTACATACTACACAATAAAGTGGTGTCCATATTAATACTATCATTTCTACAATACAATAACAGCTAGAATATCATATTCTGTTACCCTATCTCATATAACTTTCAATAGAATATTCATTTGACTAATTAAAATAAAAAAATTTTTAAACTATCAGATAATTACACAGGTCCTTTACCATTACTAGGCAACCACCTTTACACAATATAAATATAATTTTCACTTCCATCTCATTGGATTTTAACTTAATTATTCAGTTATAATAATTTTATACACTTCATGTACTAGCATTTGTACAGTACCACACCAATACCTTTCTTCTTCTACCTCTATCATTTTATCATCACTTATGATGTTATAAATTTCAACCTTATATATTAATCCCAATAAATTGACAGTTCTTTTTTCAATAATAGAGATTCACTGATCTAGGCAATAAATTTTATCATTTAAATAAATTTAATTGTTACAGTCAGGTTCATTAATAAGATATTAGTCATTACTACAATTAAACAAAGTTTATAACTTCACAAACAAAAATTACATTAATTTCGGAACATACTGACATCCTGTCAGGTTTAGCTGTCGTTAAATCATCTCCTGTGACATCAGCCATTTGGTCTGTGTCGTCGTTTCAACTGACAAGTACCACGTGCAAGTAAGTATTCGAGCTTAAGAGACATGTAGTCCCTAAAGTAAATTTTAATTTAAAACCAATTCCATTGTCATCGACCTAGACTCTCAACATTATTAAATGTAAAATGTGATAAATTTTTAAACCAACACATGGAAGTCTTATAGACACCATATTGTTAGCACCAAATACCAAAGGCACTGAAGATGATCTGTATAGATTGAAAACGTTCTCCATAATTTTAAATGTTGACGACACTTTTAAAAAGTTTTTAAGTACTGCTATGTTTTTATACCAAAATACACAATTGTGAAGTATTTTAACTTCTGTGTTTTTTTTTTTTAATTAGGAAACTTTTAATACTCAAAAGTAATATAGTGAATAGAGGCAATATGCATTAGTTAGCTTGATTATGCAAGAAAATATATAAGCAAAAAATCTGTTTTTTTTTTCTATTTCGATGTCATTATAAGTTCTACTTTATTCTTGCAGGATGTACATCCACTTCATGGATGCGCCAACTAGCGAAGTCGGATTTAACGGAAAAACGTTCCATGATATATTTGGAAGATAAATAAACAGCAACAATTTTCTGTTATATGATGTATTGTCTTTTAGTTTTAATTTAAAGTATGTACAAAATGTAAAAAATATTTTAAATAGTAATTAAATAAAAATGTATAAGTATTATTTTAAAATTAATTCTGTTTGTGTAAGTCAATAAAATATATAAGAAAATGCCAAAGAATGGTAAAAATGTAATTGAGGAGTTTTCTGTAAGAAGGATGCAGCGTGATTTTGGTGGAATGCAAAGTCATCTTCTGTTCGCTGAGCGAGATTAATTGGATCGATGTGCAACTGCAGGTACAAGTGTTTTCAGAATGTGGACGAAGAAACAAGAAAAGTTCTCTTACAAAAGTTTAACAAAATAGGAGACAAAGATTTGCAAAATACCTATTTGGGAGGGTTGAATCGAACTACTACTATTCAAAAAACTCGAAAAAAGACTAATGAAAGGCAAGACCGCACTTGTTCCCACAAATACTTTATAAAGCAGGGTAAGCTAGAATTGAGAATTGAAATGGCACGGTCTACATTTATTAAGTTCCTTAAGAGATCCTTGCTGTGCTGCAGTGATCTCAGTTTGGGAACCAAGATGCGGATAGTGAGGTGCTACGTTCTTCCAGTGTTACTATATGGAGTTGAAGCCTGGACACTGACGCAAGTAACTGAAAAACGAATCGAAGCCTTCGAGATGTGGATCTACAGAAGGATACTAAAAATATCTTATGTGGACCATGTCAACAACGTTGAGGTCCTACGGCGCATGACAAAAGAAAAAGAAGTACTTAATTTAATTAAACAACGCAAGCTTGAGAACCTCGGCCACGTGATGCGGAACGAAGAAAAATATCGAATTCTTCAACTCGTTATGCAGGGTAAAGTATTTGGCAGAACAGGACCGGGACGCCGTCGTATCTCGTGGTTGAAAAATCTCCGACAATAGTTTGGGATGACCTCAGCGGAGCTGTTTCGCAGAGCAGTCAACAAAACCATGATAGCCTTGATGATCGCCAACATCCGGACCGGATAAGGCACTGAAGAAGAAGTAAGCTATCCAAACGAAAATTCAAAATGCTTTTGGTTCAATCCACGGCATATCAAGAAAACGTGTAGATCTCATTGCTCAAACTTTTCATGACAGAGATATTGCAGCTAGTAGCAAAGGAAAGCATACAAATAGACTTCACCGAAAATCTAAGGAAATACTAAAAAATGTGAGCTTTCCAAGGCGTGAATCGAATTATAGTAGAATCAAATCCCGTCGATTCTATTTATCTCCAGATCTAAATGTAAAGAAGAAGCATCAACTGTATTTGGAACTTTACGAACCAGAAAGTGTTAGCAATCCTAAATATAAATCCAAAGTCCCCTATGACTTCTACTATCGATACTTCAAAAAAAACTTCAACTACAGGTTTCTCTTACCTCTATCAGATACGTGCAAAAAATGTGATGTCCTAGATAACAAACTCTGTGAACCTCGACAAAAATGAACGACAAGTTTGAGCAGAGGAAAAGAAGTTGCATGAAATTAAGACCGAACTATTTTTCAAGGACCTGAAGGAGAAAACCACATTGTGCAAGCATAGCGACGAAGTGGAGGTTCTGACCTTTCATTAGTAGGAGGTAGTGTCATTTTTATACCTTTTCTCCGATAAAGCTGCTGTGCAAAACAAAAACTCAGTAAATATTCAGTTTCTGTATTTGCTGGTGAGAACTATCTCTATTAAGATAGAGCACCGCTTTCCTGAGCCACGAAGAAAGAAGGACTACATGTTAAGCCCCTAACAATATGATGATTTTGTTAATTAATGATCCAAACAGTTTATTTCCATTCTGGTAAAACAAAATATGATCCTGAACTTTAGTGGTCACTATGAAGGACATTTTAAAAAGTTATCTCAAATGCAGAAAAGCAAAGATTCCAAATACCGAATTATCCAGTACAGCCATGAACATTTAGATGCTATTAAAGTCAGTATATCTACTGCCTTCCTTCACTTATTCCAAATCTTGAGAAACCTTGACAGTGACCTCTCAGTTTCTTCTAATATTCCTGTCTATTACAATCCTATACCTGTCAAAAAATACAAATCTGCAGATGGCAACACGATTTGTTCCTATGTATAGCTCGGTTACAGATAATTGAGAAATTTAAAGAGATAGACCAATTGATGTACAATTTTGAATAACGCTGGGCCCATAACGGTTTCTTAATATTGTTCTGAAGCTATTTTCTTGTGACATTTTAAATTAATTACTATTTAACTGGGAATAAGCCACAATTAAAGGTTAAAGTGCGTTTATTGACGTTTCAATTTCCAAAAAAAAAATTGTTTAATTTACTGTTTGTATTTTGAGAATGATTTCCGAAGTAGAAATTGAAACGTCAATAAACGTACTTTAACCTTTAATTGTGGCTTATTCCCAGTTAAATAGTAATTAATTTAAAATGCCACAAGAAAATCGCTTCAGAACAAAATATATCCATGTGCTTAGATCAAATGATATCTGTTTTAATTAATATTTTGCCTTGTTACAGGATAGTATTCAGAAAAATGCAAAAATAATTACTTAAAAATATAATTTCATTAGGAACAATTATAAATATATTACACTCTTGAACAAAAATATCGAATATTTTGGATACTTTTTTTTGTAGTCACTACATCTCGAAACAATTAGATTACTGATGACACTCATATAGTAGCCTGATAACTGGTTTGAAATATTTTGACCTTTTTTTTGACGTTTATTCAGCGTTTAATATAGTAATAGTATAAGTTTAATACAAGTGTGCCACGGATTCGACACTGCAATGACGTCCAAGTAGCACAGATGGTAATTTTGTACGAGGAAGGATATTCACCAGAAGATATCGCACAAGGTCTCAAGAGAAGTAAATCTAGTTTCAAATACTTTAAAAAGGTACCGCGAAAAAGGAAATTTCATACGAAGGCCTGCTCAAGAACGCCCAAGTTGTACAGCCGCACTTGATGACCGTTTTTGGTTCTTATTTCTATACTATAGACTTCCATGACGAAGCAGTATAGGCACTCTGATTTAATACCTTGAGTTTGTTTTTAATCCGACGTCACCAGATATCGGATCGGGAGAAATACGGTTCCAATGTAGCTGTACAATTACTCTACAAAGGATGAATTGCAAGATTTTTTATTATCACAAGATTTATATTTTGAGGATTGGTACACTAAAGACCAATTAGTAGAAGTACTTAATACAAAATTATTTGTAAAGGAATATATTATTGATGATGCAGCAAGGAAAAATGGACATACAACTTTAAGACTACCACCATACTACTGCGTTTTAATTCCAATAGAGTTGTTATCGTCTCAACTGAAATATAATGTGAGACAAAAAAATATAAGTCCGAAATGTTATAACAATGTCGTGAAACTCATAGATTCTGAATTTATAAATATCTCTGACGATAACTGGAAGAAAGCAATAGAGCACGTAAAAAATATCGAAAAAGAATATGTTAAAATCATCCCTGCTCTAAATAAAATTATTATCAATGTGGAGAACAGTGATTCACAGGAAGAAAGTGATGAAGTGTAATAAAGACAACTTTCTCTCAATACTGAGCTTACCCGGAATATTTTCTTACATAATCAGGTGTAGAGATTATCTACAAATATTCAACACCAAACTACTGCTTCAATTTTTTAGGAAAAACATGGCCTTATTATGAAAACTTCACTTATTGTTGCAAAATTTATATATTTGAAAATCAGTTCTTAAGAGAAAATAATAATGTAAGTACGTGTTGACTAGATAAAAAAAGTTTAATATATATATATATATATATATATATATATATATATATATATATATATATATATATATATATATATATACCGTGAACATGGTCATGAAACACCGTCAAACACGGTGAATCGTCAAACGGGCCGAGAAATTTTAAATTGTTGAATTGCTGCTTCCCTAATTATTTTAGATCAAAAGTCATAAAAACTATTTGTAGTGGACTAAAATCTGAATTAAAAACAAATGTTAAAACCGTTCTACGAATCAAATGTACTTCAAAATTTTGCAAAAATATAATACATTTTTTAGGTCACCCCTAAAAGTTAGGCCACACGTAATGCAAGAATATATATTAGAACGTGTGTGTTTTATCATATTGATGTCAGATATTTGACAATTTGAATTGTCAATTTTTTTATTTTATGAATAAATTATAAACAATGAAATTTACTAAATACTACTACTAATGAACAATATTACTTTGTGAAGAATAAATTATATTGTTTACAAATCGATCAATATAATGAAATGTACTCAGTTGACGAAAAATCGCATAATAATGTTGTATTTAGGCAATAGCGAACCTTTTCCTTCCACTACCGGATCTTTATTTAACGTAAGATATTCTAATTCACTCAAATTTAATTCCATGTTAAGTTATACAACAATTCAATGAATTCCAATATACTGTTACTGTGATCTTTATTCCTAATAATAATATATTATAATTTCTAAACATAAAACTATAACAAATGTTATAATAAAACATGAATAAAACATTTTTATTATTGCTTTTTTCTCCACAACTGAGTACATTTTTTAATCAACTTATTTTTTTTTACAATAAATCACAAAATTTTGGCCATTTATATCATAGATAAATATAATATAATTGATTTCAATATTGTCAAATATCAGAAACAATAATATGACAAAACGCAACACGTAACATACACATTTTTTCACAGAAAAATGTATTATATTTTAGCAAAATTTTGGAATACGTTTAAGTCGAAGAATAATTTTAACAGTTGTTTTCGATACATATTTGAGTCCTCTACAAATAGTTTCCCATGACTTTTGGTGTAAAATAATTAGGGAAGCAGGAATTTAACAATTTAGAATTTCCCATTGAGTTTCCTATGGACTGTTTGACGATTCACCACCCTGTATATGCATATATATATATATATATATATATATATATATATATATATATATATATATATATATATATATATACAGATTGAACGAAATAAATTCGGAACATAGGAATATAATGTATTTCGGCTCAATTCTGCTGTAGATAGTTGGCCAACAAAAGATTGTCAAATAATTATATTATAAAAAATCCCATACTTCAGGGGGCTGCTGGATTCTGAACTCATAAAAATTGAAAGCTACACATAAATCTACGATTTTATTATGCTGTCAAACCAGTTATAGTCCAGGAAATGTAGCATTTCACCTCGCAATTTTTTCGTGCGGCGTGGATTGACTTCAAATTTAACAGAAGGTAGGTAATAGCCTAAGAATCAAAATCTATATCGAACCAAAGTGCGCCAAAGCCTAGGGGGTGGTTGCTACCCCATCTCCGGGGTTAAAAATTTTTTTCACGTTTGAACTACAGGTTTCGATTAGAAAAGTGATTCTAAACAAAAAATGTGCTATACATTTTTTTTATAAAATGATATTTTTCAAGTTATTCGCGATTGAAAGTAACAACTTTTAGACGAAAAAATCCACGTTTTTAATCGATTTTTCGCGAATAACTCGAAAATGGTGCATTTTATCAAAAAAATTGTAGAGAACAAATTTGTCGCTTTTAAAAAGACAAATACAATTACAAATGCAATATCAATGTTCAGCGGTTTTCTTCAAATGTCAAATTTGAAAGATTCAAAGTCAAATATCGGGAAAATGATGTATTTTTGAAAGAAAACTCACAAAACCTTTTTTAAAGAGCATAAATAGACCTATCATAAAAAAATTAGGTCAATACCTCATTTTTTACGAAAAAATCGAGGAAACCAACACCCTAACCACCCCCATAATTAAAATCGACCTTCACCCTTCTGCAATTCCCTTTGTAGATGTATTGTTAATATGTCCAAGAAGTTTGACCCATTTAAAATGCTTATTTTTAGAAAAAGTACAGCTTAAAGCGAGAAACGATTTACAATTTCATATTTTTTACCCTTCTTTTTTTAAATATGCCCGAAAATACTGAATATATGAAAAAAATAAAAATTATCAAATTGTAGCTTTTTTAATGACTAAAATTATTCTTTATTTAGAATTGTTGTACAATGAATATTTGGCGAGATATAGCCGTTTAAAGCATCGATTTACGATCAAGCACCATCTTTTTCGAGCCCTTTAAACTCACCCCATTTAAAAACCAAGGGTTCCAAAAAGATTTAATTTACAGATCCTTGTAGCTATTAAAAACCTCTACAAATCGTTTTTGAAGTAACACTCTATTGTTAAAAATTAAAGGAAATACGTTAAAAAATCAGTTAATTTTTTTCCGGAAAATTCCATTAGTATAGTACAGTACATTTCGGAGCATAATAATCTACAAAACCGGTATATTAGCTAGTGGGGCGTTATATATTCAAAATTTTAAGCGTTCTTATTTTGAAATCCCATACAACAGAATAAAACATCTGCTCATATGTCTATGGCTTGGCAATGAAAATATCAGAGCAACAGATTGGTATTCCAAAGATGGTTTGTTATTATCCGTACGCATGAACAAACAACCTGCACCCGATAAATTTTTGAAAATTATTTTTTGCCAATGCAAAAAAGGATGCGGCATTTCATATGGGTGCAGAAAAGTTGGTTTATACTGTAACTCTACTTGTTCTTGGTGCTCAGGTGAAGGGTGCAATAACACTCCACCAATAATTGAAGAAGATGAGGATGACATATATCACGATGAAGATGTAATTGATGACGAATAAAATTAATATTATAATTGTTTTACCTATAAATGTAAATATTTTCAACTATTTATGTAAATGTATAAGAATATATGGTGCCTTTTTATGTTGATAACTTTTTTTGTATTTAATTCTACTTTTTTCAATTTATATCTTATAAATTAGTTTATAAAAACTGCAATGTTGTAAAGGGTGATTTTCAACAGTTGAAAAGTTGTAAAATTTTGGCAAAAAATTGTTTTCACCTATAGCACTCATAACAATTGATTTTTAAGGGTTAAAAATGTATGAATTTGTATTTTAAGGTATAAAAAACTCACTATTTAACTAATCCAAACCAAATTTCACTCATCTTAAGATTTGTAATATTATTTTACAATTTTTGAAAATTAGGGGTAGTTTTCACCCCTAAGAACAATCAGGGTTCATCGGCATGACATAAACTATAAAGCAGAGGGTGAGTTGAGCTTAATTCCAAATTTTTATGCAAATCGTTCCAAGGTGAAATCATTTTCTTCGCATTACTAATTTTTTTATATTAATCTCTAATAAGGGTCGCTTTTTAAGGGTTGAAATATGATGAAACTTTATTCAAAAGCACGAAACTATCATTATTCAATTAATTCAACCCAAATTTTACCCATATTCAGGTTTAATATGTTATTTTTTAATTTTTGACAATTAGAGGTAGTTTTCACCCCTAAGAACAGTCAGGGTTCGTTAACATGACATAAACTATAAAGCAGCGGGTGAATTGAGCTTAAATCCAAATTTTTATCCAAATCGATCCAAGGATAAAACATTTTTTTAGAATTAGTATTTTTTTTACATTAATCTCTAACAAGGGTTGCTTTTTAAGGGTTGAAATATGATGGAACTCTATTCAAAAGTATAAAATAATCATTATTTAACTAATTCAAACCAAATCTTACCCATATTCATGTTTAATATGTTATTTTATAATTTTTGACAATTAGGGGTAGTTTTCACCCCTAAAACCCTTCAGCGCACTTCGGTTCGATATATATTTTGATCCTTGGGTTATTACCTACCTTCTGCTAAAATTGCAACTGGATACATGCAGGACGAAAAAATTGCGAGGTTTTAACTTTTTTCGAACTTCAGTTCCTGAACTATTATCGCCTCCTTAGACAAACCCGTCTTACGCAAACAACTTTGTTGCGAGACAGATAGTTGAACGATATTTTATACAATGTCTATACCCAGGTATGGATTTATTTTTGTCCAAGTTTTATAATGGTCCACTATTTCAAATGCAGTTCAAACAGACATGTATTAAATTGTATGTTCCGTTTTAATTTGGTTCAATCTGTATACATATTTGCCCGTCCAAACAGCAGATGATCACCTTTTTTCTTCCAAAATACTTCTCGGCTCTCAATGCCTTCCATAATTTTCTGTTGACCAATCTAACATCCTCGACTCAATTCTTCAAAAACGCCAACACTTTCCAATTCCCAAAATTTTGTGCAAAAATATCAGACAAAGACTTTCTACTTATACCCTTAATGACTTGTTTCGTGGTACCCGAAGTTATTCCTTGAAAAAATGCAGGTCTTCTTCTTCTTAGTCTTCTGTCGTCCATGTTTGGACATAGGCCTCTCCCAACTCCTTCCATCGGTCTCTATCCTGAGCAACATATTTCCAATTTGTTCCGGCTATTCTTTTAATGTCATCAACCCATCTCATCTGTGGTCTTCCTCTTGGTCGTTTACTTTCGTAAGGTCTCCAATGTTGTATTGTAGTATTCCAACGTTGGTCTTTCTGTCTAGCAGTGTGGCCCGCAAAGCTCCATTTAAGTTTGGCAATTTTTGTTGTTATGTTCTCGACTTTTGTTTTGGATCTTACCCAGTCGTTCCTCTTTTTATCTGACAGTCGTGTACCTAACATTGCTCTTTCCATTGTTCTTTCTGTTGTGACTAGTTTATTCATGTTTGCCTTGGTTAGGGTCCAGGTTTGACATCCATATGTCATGATAGGAAGGATGCATTGGTTGAACACTTTGCTCCTCAAGTATTGGGGTATTTTGCGGTTCTTAAGTATCCAACTAAGTTTTCCAAATCCTGCCCATGCTAGTCTTGCTCTTCTAGTAATTTGCGCACTTTGGTTCTCTTTTTCAAGTCTCAGGATTTGGCCTAGGTAGATATATTCCTGGATTTGTTCTATCGCACTGCCGTTTATAGTTATATGTCTGGGGTCATCTGTGTTTGTCATTATTTTTGTTTTTTTCATTTTCATTTTTAGGCCGACGTATTGGGAGCTGGCGGCTAATTCCCCCAACATAATTTGCAGTTCCTCGAATGTGCTCGCTATAATCACTATGTCGTCAGCGAATCTGAGGTGGTTTAACTTGTTGCCATTAACGTTAATACAGGTAGATTTGATATTTCAATATAACATTTTATTTACTGAAACTAATCTTAAATAAAAACCTAATTTGAAAAGTCCGAAATTTACCGTAAATCTAAAATTGAAGTCTCTTTTCTTCACAAAACAATATAACTTATCAACACAACAAAAGGAGTATGACTGTTGAATTCAATACTAAATATGGTTCACTAAGATATTGGAGGGGTTCTTGGTCAACAGTTGGAGAACCATTAACCTAATTTGCGGCAGTGAGCAGTTTGCATGATCGCTCTTCTTTCTCGTATGGGAGGATGAATGAGAACGGTCCAATATGTAATTCGTTATTCTAACCGTCAGTTCTTCTTCTTCTTTATGTGCCGTCTTCTACCGAAAGTTGGCGACCATCATACGATAGGTTTCTCTGTTTTGTGCCGCATGAATTATGTTCGCAGCTTCTGGTATTTGAAACCATTCTCTCAAGTTTCTCAGCCAGGATTTCTTCTTTCTGCCCAAACCTCTTCTACCTTCAATCTTGCCTTCCACGATAAGCTGTAGCAGACTTTACTTATCATTACGGAACACATGGCCCAGGTATGACGCTTTCCTCCTTTTAACAGTTGTTAACAATTCCACCTCTTTACCCATTCTTCTTAATACCTCTGTGTTGGTCACTCTGTCTGTGTAAGGTATTCTCAGTATGCGTCGATACAGCCACATTTCTAGAGCCGCTAACTTCTTTATAGTTGCTGCTGTTAACGTCCACCCTTCTACGCCGTAAAGTAGCGTAGAGAGTACGTAGCATTTCGTGGCGCGCCATCGGAGGTTAATGCTTAGGTTGCGGTTGCTTAAGAGCTTTCTCATTTTGATGAATTTGGATCTTGCTATTTCCGTCAGTTCAATAACTTAAAAAGAGTAATATCACAAAAAGTTTTAAATATACCTGTCATGCCTTGTTTCAGTTTTTATTGCATTTTTATTTAGTGAAGTATATTTTTTTCAAATATGATTAATATTGTTTATTTATTATATTTACAACTATTTTTTCGTTCTTCTAATACACACTTATAAATATAAAAAAAAATTCAAATGCATTTCACTTTGTATCAAACATTCAATAAAAGTCTGTTAAGGAATTCTTAGAAAAAATCGGTGATCTCGTCCTATGCGCATCTCAGAAACAAAATAAAACTTATGAAATGAAAATATTATTATTATGAGGTCATTAAATGATACTCGAAAGATTTAAACTCGCTTTGTAACTTTTATTACTCTCTAAATTGTAAAAAATGTCATAAACTGATCTAAAATTTCATAATAAAACAAAAAGATAACCTAAACTATTATTATCGGCTTACATTAGCCAGAAATTATTTAAGTAGCAATATACAGTTCGCATAAATGTTACAATATGATCAGCGATACATAAAAATCAATTTTAGTGCTGCTATTCGGGAAAAAGGAAAGTAAAAATAAAATATGGCCTATTAACACGTTAACAGCGTGTTTTTCTTTGAAACAGTCATAACCTCCTATTTAAAACCATTTTATTAAATATATGAATGAATTTAGATTAATTTAAACATCTACACTGCCCTCTGAATCTTCACTGAAGTGGATATCGCTAGTCATTGAGAATAAGGTGTAGCGGGGAGGTTTCTTCCAGACGGCGCTGGAAGTTCTCTTCAATTTCTTGGGGTCTATTTTTTCAAAAATGTCTATCAAATCAGGACTGTGTGTTTGACAGCAGAAAAGTGTATTTTTAATTTTCTCTCCTGCTTTTAATTGAACGTATAATTGTCTCTTCAATACGTCGTCTAAAAAAAATAATTTGTTGTATTAAAAAATCAAAATTTGAAAGTTTAAAGTAAAATTTTCTATACTTCAAAATATAAACTATACATATACCTATAAATATCATCTGGAAAATAAATATGAACTACCATATTTGAATCATATTTTGTTTTTGAAACGATACGTTTAATTAATAATACTGTATTAATTATATATTACTATAATTAATTTTAATAATATTTTTAAGATAGAATTTAATACAAAATAATTTAAAGCTTTATGTTAGTTTAGATATAAAATCCTAACGCCATCTGAACAAAGAAATCTGAATTAACTAATTTTTTTGAAAATTGCTAAAAATATATAAGTGTATTGTAAGGTAAGATCAATGAAGTATAATATATATTTATTATAATATGTCACTGGGTAACATAAACATACATTTACTATAAAAATAAAATGACGTTAGCAAACGTCAACGCTTTACCAAAATAAAATAAAATTTTATTATTTAGGGCATTACATCATATCTTCTTTGCGTTTGGTCCGATTGGAGCGTGTGATAAGTTACATGAAAGGGTATGATATCACGAAGATATTTCGATAGAAAAACAAACAAAGCGACTACCAAAAGAGCACTATATAGCGTCTTCTTTAATAATAAACATATAGCGACATTTCGAGATATCATAGGGCACTATGGATAAAAATAAATTTACCCTAAGACAAATTTTGATTTATTGATTACAGAAGACCTCAGGCGGAGTACAAAATAAACCGCTAATCGACTCCTAACTTGTGGTATAGCAAATAAAAGGGAAGGATACAACGAATATATTCAGAAAAAACAAACAAAGCGACTACCAAAAGGGCACCACACGTCTATATATATATATATATATATATATATATATATATATATATATATATATATATATATAATAAATATATATATATAAAATAAATAAACTGACTGCATCCTCAAAAATCATAATTTATATTTAAATCAACAGTCAAGAATACCACCATCTTATATATATATATATATATATATATATATATATATATATATATATATATATATATATATATATATATATATATATCGGGTTCTGTTTTGCGCTAAGGCCTTCGCCTCATTTCAAGACTTTCCTTGGCCTCTTATCTCGTCCATGATGGATCTTCTCCAAGTTTGTACTGGCGACCTCTTTTTCTTTTCTCTTGGGGATTCCACTCTAGGGCAGTCTTTGCGATACTGGAGCTATTTTTTCGGAGTGTGTGACCGATCCAACCCCACTTTCTGGACTTAATTTCATTTTGTACCCTCTTTTGTTCGGTCAGGTGTAGCAGATCTTCGTTTCTGATGGTGTTAGGCCAGAATATACGAACAATTCTTTGTAGACATTTGTTACCAAAGACCTGCAGGTTGTCTGTGAGGGTTTTTGTCACTTTCCAGGTTTCACATCCGTAGAGTAGAACAGGCATGACATTTGATCGGAATATTCGGATCTTTGTCCTTGTAGTATACTCGCCAGATCTCCAAACGGGGTTGATCGTGCTGAAAGCTTGTTCGGCTTCTCGTATCCTCATACGAATATCGTCTTCTGTACCTCCGTTTTCTGTTATGACACTTCCAAGATAAGTAAAGTTTTCCACATTTTCAATCTGCATATTGTCGATAGTAAATAGCGTGTTGTTCCTTGCATTTATTCTCATGGACTTGGTTTTACTAATATTGATTTTCAAACCTATTTTATTGGCTTCAGTGGAAAGTGTTTCCAATTGGTAAGCCAGATCTTGGAACCTTTGCCCTAATAGGCAGATATCGATAGGATTGGCAACGCGGTAGCGATTAGATAAATACGTTTGTTGTTTCGGCTGTAATTAACCCGATTTATCGAGAGTTACAACGAGAAATAAACAATCAAAATTAGTTAGAGTGCAAAACAAAGTTAAAAACTAATCAGTAGTATAAAAAGTGAACTTCTAAAAGGTGAGTCAGTGAAATAATTATAAGCAATTAACCAAAATACACCGAAGAGGTTAACTGATAAGCGCGATAAAAAGCAAAACATTCACTGAAGTCTTCACCAATTTTTATGCGACGTTGCCACTGTGAGCAAAATATCCCAGGCGACAATATTTTAGCTGGTTGCAATAAATAAACGGTAGACACTGTCTTCTCTGAACCGTTGCGGTGGAAGATAGTGCCTGGCGCCGAATAATGAAAAAGTTTTTGGAGAAAGGAAAAGATTGGGAGAGCGATAGCTCAGTAACGGACGACGGAATAAAAAGAAAAATGAGGGAGGATGACATCGAAGATGATGAAAGAGGAGAACATACAAAGAATAGAAAGCTATTAACAAACTCACCACGGAATAAACATGAATCAAAACTAGATACCATACATGAAATGATGAACAAGTTGGCAAAAGATGTCACAGAGATAAAGAACGACCAAAAGAGCAGTAAAGAAGCAATAGAACAGCTCATCGAAGATAATAAAAAGTTAAAGAAGGAAAACAAAGACCTAAAACAAGAAAACAAAGAAATCAAAGAGGAATTGAAAGAAATCAAGGAGAATATGGAATTTATGGAAAAACAAAGGAGGAAAAACAATGTAGTATTGAATGGTATATTAATAGATACCTATGATCAAAGAGTAATAAAAGAGGCGATGTTGAATATATTCAAAACATACAGTGTAGGTAAAATTTTATGGTCGGTATCGTAAAACTTAACAGGATATCTAACACAGATATAAAATCATATTTTCAGCGAATAGACAAAGATAACAATCATATTTCCCCTTGGTCTCCCCTCCATATATCTTCTTGACGCCCATTGCCTGTTAGTGAGACGATTAGTTCCGATCAGAGATATTTTACATATTCTGTGGTTCCGATCCTCATAAAGCTAAGAAACTAGAGGTGGGTCCTCTAGTTTTTTAACTTTTTATCGGAACCGTTTTTCGTAAACTGTAACTAGTTGATTGTTTACCAGTATTCAAATTAGCGAGTACACAAACATATTGGCTATTATCGTTTATAGTAAGTTTAAGTATTGAAGTGAAAGAAACTAACGAAGAATATATTTATTACAACTTGAAAAATAAATTAAACAATACAAATAGTACTTACATTTACATGGACTTAAGTCATCTTTATCAGTTTCTTTTTCGTGTACTAGTCAATTTTCAATAGTATAATCTTTTTTTCTTTTTTTTTATAGAAGTAACCAGCTTCAACCATCAACTAGTTGATTTTAACGAATTTAACCGAAAATTTAGAGTTTAACACGGTTTAATTAGACTGCTGCCATTTTTCTGGAAACCATAATTCAGAAAACATCGCTTTTAAAATTAGTGAAATTTTTATTTAGTGGGGTCTAAAACAAAAAGTAATTTTTGCAGTAACTAATAATGCCTCAAATATGGTCATCGCTATTAAATATGTTTTGGAATGAAAACATTTAAATTGTTTTGCTCATACGTTAAATTTATTGATGGAGGACGCACTTAAATGCTGTCGTGTACAAATAGATAAAATAAAAAGTCTTTTTTTCGACAATTCGGCAAAAAACACATTTCAAAAAAGTATCTTATCTTCAGAATCGCTTTTAAAGTATCAATTACAACATAACAAAGATCCCAAACGGCCAATCCAAGACGTGGAAACTAGGTAGAACTTCACCTATTACATGTTAGAAAGAATGGCGGAGTTAGAAGAGGCAATCCGTTCCACATTGGTATCAGTTAATACAGACTTAGACTTAGAAAAATTTTAATAATAAAGACTGGATTATTTTTTCGTAATTGTCCCAAATTTTACGGCCTTTTAAAGAAATAACAAGTATAATGAGTGGCCAAAAATACTTGAATGATAGTTTAGTGATTGTTCTGGTACGCTGCCTGCAAAAATCTTGCAATAAAATTTTAGCAAACAGTAACTTTACATGCTTAGTATCCGACGTAGTACGGGTTTTTATCACTAATTACGGGATAATTACTAATCTCGGGTTTAGCAAAAAGATTTAGAGGGATAGAATACAGTGGCATATTGTCATTATGTACGTTTATGGATTCACGATTTAAAGTGCAGGGATTTTCTGATAAAAATGACGCTAAAAAAACAAAAGAAAGAGTTAAGAAGCTAGTTACTTCTATAATTAAAGAACAAGAAGATTGTACTATTGAAAATCAACCAGTATAAGAAAAAGAAAACGATAAAGATGACTTAAGTCCATGGTGTATTTTTGATCAATTAATTGGACATGACTCATCTAAACGTACACCTGTAGCGAGAGTCCATTACAATGGTGGAAAAACCATCGCCATGTATCTCCTAACTTAACCACTACATTCATAAAGTATTGTAAATGTGAACACATGTTCAAAATCAGGTTTAATTTTAAATAAAAGAAAAACACGGTTAAGAAGAAGTAAAAAAACTTATGTTTGTAAATGTCAATTTAGACGATTCGTGATTTAATAAAAACGTGTAATGTAAACGTAGGTACGATTTACTATTTGTATTGTTTAGTTTAGTTTTCAAGTTATAATAAAATCTTTTATTAGTTTCCTTCACTTCAATAAATATACACATAAACGATAATAGCCATTATGTTTGTTTATGTAGGTAGTTTCTTACTTGAAACTACTATTTAAAAATCATAGTTACTTGTTTACGAAAATCGGTTTTGCGACGTCAATGACCCACCTCTATTCGTAAATACCTGTGTACCCTTTGATTCGGTGATTTGACCACGCGACACGCCACGTTGTCAAATAGTTTTGTATGAAGCTTTTTTATTTATATGCAGTTTAATATTTTTATTGGAAATAAGGCATAATGTCACTTTAAAATAAGCTTAATTTGATGTTTAGATTTTTAAGTCGGAAATCGTTTTTAAAATACCAAACATTAATAAATTTTATTTATATAAAACGATTTCCGAAGTATAAATCAAAATGTTATATTACACTTATTGCAAAGTAAAATTGTGGCATATTCCCAATAAAAAA